TTATTAATAAAATCACTAGCTATATTGGTGCTTGGACTTGAGCCTCATTGTGTTATGCGGGGGAGAGTGGAACTTGTGAGAACTATTCTTCAAAGTGTCGTATGTTTTTAGCTTTCCATCCTACCTATGCCGTCTATGGTTGCATCAAAGGTTATTAGTCTTTGTTGGAACTTTCTTTAGGGATCAAAATAATCATTTGCTGCATGTAGTAGTATTTGTTTTACTAAACATGAAGGTGGGCTTGGATTTAGATATCAAATGTTAAAACAAAGCGTTTCTTGCCAAAAATCTTTGGAATATTCATCGTAAGAAAGACACTCTTTTGGTGAAGTGGGTGAACCGGATTTTTCTTCATGGGAATGATATTTGGGACTATATGGTGAGAAAAGTTGACTCCCACTACTTAAAAGGGTGATGGAAATTCGGGATCAGATTGCACGGCTTGAACAAACCGTTCAGGTCGCAAAGAGACAAGCTAGCAAGCTGGGTTGATTCTGGGAAATTCTGCATTACCACTACTTATGATTGTTTCAAATTGAAAGGGCCGAAGGCAGTATGGGCAGCAACTATTTGGAAAGCTGGTATAACGCCAAAACATGCTTTTGTCCTTTGGTTGGGAGCAAAATCTAAGCTATTAACCAAGGACATACATCACATGGACATTTGATCGAAGTTGTGCGTTTTGTGGGTGTTCTATCAAAACTATGCTACACCTCTTCACATGTTCGTTTAGTGGCTCTATTTGGGGATGGATCCATGTGTGGATGGGCATTCAACGCTCTATGTCTACAATTCTAACGCTCTATGTCTACAATTCTAAGTGCCTTAAAATGGTTGACTGAGGAGGCTCGGAGGACGACTTATCGCCCTTGCAAGCACAGTCTACCACATTTGGAAGGTAAGGAGTAAGAAGATTTTTGAAGATCTTACACAGCAGGGTGACAACATAGTGAGACAGATCAAAGTACACGTATACAAAGTTATATTTTCTTTGTATCTGAAGTTTTGATTCATTTTGAGTCTCTAACATTAGTTCGTTAAATTATTTCGTTTGTACATCTTTTTATTTTCTTTGCTTGTGTATGTCCGATAGTACTTGTATGTCACTTGACCTTCGTTTTGCTTAAGTATGCCTATTGTATTTGTATAGGAGTTTTGATCAATATAATTTCACATTTATCAATAAAAAAAATAAAAAACTGCACTTAGTGCTTGTTTGGTAGTGTATTAAGTGCTTATAAGTTATATGTTCTATAGAATATGTGAATAATAAGTTGTAAAACTTACAAATTTGTGGATGAAAAGTGTATTTGATCAACTTAAATTATAATTTAAGCTTTCTAAATATGCTCGTAATTGAGTCATGAAAATGAATTCACGTGACCAACTCTAAAAAACTTATACAACTCGACATGATATCGACTTTCAAGGGTTTTGTTAGAATAAAGAGAACATGGATGAGTTTGGCATTTCACCATTTGCCCATGGCCTAAACACAGACTACACAGTGATACTAATACCCCACGATACCCCACCCCGGGCCCGCCTTCTCTGGTTCATATGCACCCATTCCGTTTCTTCTTTAACAACAGAGACAAAAGCTCGTTTGATTATATTATAGACACCTCTATCTCTCTCTCTCTCTCTCTCTCCAATTCTTGGCTCCTCAGTATTCATCACTAGATATGATATGATCTAATCTAATCTACTTTTGTTCTGACAAAAAAAAAAATCCAACCGTTGAATTGCTACAGCCCCATCCCCTTTGTTTTTTTCTTCCTAGTGATAAATTCCCAGACATAAACACATTTCTTTATACTCTTTTCTTTGTGGGCTATACATATTTATCTTTTTCTCTGTTTCCTGTGTATTTTCATGGCTGCATCAGAAGTCTTTAATGCAAATGAAAATGAAGTTAGCAGGCCAGATATTCAGGCCGCTATTGCTAAAGCAGTGGAGCTTAGAGAAATTCATGCTACTCTTTTACAGGGAAAATATAGCCCTACAAATTTAGGGTTCCCTTCTGCTTCCCCTGTTTCTCATTCTCGCCATGCTTCTCAGTTTTCAGCTCAAGATTATCCGGTTTTTACCCCAGTAAGTTTTTCATTTTCACCGATTTCTTGTGTTATATGGGATTTTTGTGCTTTATATGGTTTACTTAATTCAAAGATTGTGGAATTGAACCAACAAATGATAGCCATTGGGAATAATATGTTCCTTCTACTGCACACAAGATTGGAGCTTGGGATTTTTCCATTTTCTTTCTCTCTCTCGATTTTTTTTTTGGTTTCCTATTTAGTGTTGAAAGATTAAAGTTACTTATTTAATGATAATAGTTAATTTACTTTTAAGAAAGTAACTTTTGACCACACACTGACATGCTAATCATGTACTCCATAATGTCGCTATTTAAGCTTTTAAATGAGTTAACATTTTACTGCAGCACGAAAAAGCCTAGAGCTGAGGTCGTGTTACTTCTCGTTTATGAAATTGGTGCACAGGTTTGAAAAAATAGACACAGTTTGCATGTGAGTGTGGCGCTGTGTAAATTACTAAACTGAAATACATAAATGTGTCTCCTCGGCTATAAGTATAGATGAAGAGGTTCAAACTGGAATTTTTTTCAGAATTATATTGTTCATCTATAAATTTTGTGTTTTCTGAAGAAAAGTACTGATGGGTGGTGGGGGATTCAAGAAATTAGTGATAAAATCAAAATTGAAAATCTCCTTTCAACAATATTCAATTTTCATTAAACATGGCCTAATCTTCTACTTGGGATATTTTTTAGCATCTTTTTTGTGTGCCAAATGAACTTTAAAGACTTCGTTAAAATGGTACAGAAAAACTTACTTTTAAGTGCTACTCAACTTTTAAGCCTCAGTTTGGCAAATTTATAATTGATTAATAAAGAGGTACAGTAGTGAACCCGTGTGAATAATAACGAGTAGTAGTTATGAATGTGTGGTTGAAATTAATGTTTAAATTTGATTGAATTTATAAATCATATATAAGTTTCTCTCCAAAGGGAGGCTAAGTTATGTATTGCTTGTATATGAAGGTTTTCCATATCAATCTCATAATTAAGTTACTGTAATAAATTTAGTCAACTCCGATTTCTGTAAATTCTTTACAGTTCAGATTGGCTCTAATCTTTAGCCATCACCCTCTAGATCTGTGTTCTTGCATATTTTTGTCCTTTTTTCGTTTTCTCTTTTTTCTTTTTTCTTTTTTTTTCCTCTTCAAATAATTCATGTTAACAGAGTTATGACGATGAACCACTCCCGGGGTATCAACAAGTTATGTTAGAGAATCGAAATTATGCTGACATTTGGGGCGATTGTGCGTTAGGAGGGGAAAATGTTGATGAAACCATGTTATCCGATTGTAGAACAACGAATGCATCTTTAAGAAAAGGGTTGCCCTCTGAATTTGCACACTTGGAACAACATATATGTCCAGCTGAAGATCAGTATTCTGTCACCGGTTCTTGCACTCATCACGATGGCGTGCTTAGATCATCCCCCGGACCCAATTACTGCAAGTCAAGGCGAAAAAGTTTGGGAGACCTTAAATCAGTATCATCATGCAAAAAATGTATGCCTGCCACAGTTAGTACTGAGACTGATGGTTCGACTAAAAGTGAAAAGAAGTTTAATATCATCGTACCATTGACAGATTCACACGCTCTTCATTCCCAGCCAAGAAACAAAGGGCTTAATTTGTCATGGTTGTTCCCTAGGTTGAAGAAGAAGAACAAGAATGGACATTCACCAAATCGAATGCAATCTGAGGATGTTTCCAAAATTTTCAAGGACTTGGGAATGGTATCGGTCCAGACATTGAAGAAAGAGTTGTTGGAAGCAAATGAAAGTCGAGATGCAGCCTTAATGGAAGTTGCAGAAATGAAGTCATCACTCGGGCAGCTTAACCAGAAACTCAACTATTTGGAAACTTATTGTGAAGAGCTAAAGAAGGCCTTAAGACTGGCAGCCGAAACTAAAAATTCTCAGCCTGCTGAAAAACTTTGGAATCTTTCACGAAGAGGGAAATCAATCGATGGGAATCCAGAAAATTTGATGCCAGTAAGCGAGGAAGTTATGATCGAGGGCTTTCTGCAGATAGTATCCGAAACAAGACTATCAGTGAAACAATTCTGCAAGACTCTCGTGGGGAAGATTGAAGAGACTGATCACACTCTGCTCGAAAATTTGAACTCATTGCTTCAACCATACAATATGTCTCTTAATTCTAAGTACTCTAAATCTGTGTTTTACCATTTGGAAGCCATCATAAACCAATCACTCTACCAGGACTTCGAGAATTGTGTGTTCCAAAAGAATGGTGCGCCAAAGCTTTTAGACCCTCAACAAGAACGCGAATCACACTTCCATTCATTTGTTGCATTGAGAAATCTGAGCTGGAACGAGGTAGTAAGAAAGGGGACGAAGTACTATAGTGAAGAATTTAGTATGTTTTGTGATCAGAAAATGAGTAGCATTATTACGACCCTTGGATGGACTAGGCCATGGCCTGAACAGCTTCTTCAAGCGTTTTTCATTGCTGCAAAATGCATCTGGTTGCTCCATTTACTCGCGTTTTCATTCAGCCCGCCCTTGGAAATTCTACGAGTTCAAGAAAACAGGTCTTTTGATACACATTTCATGGAGGACATTTTTACTGACAGACAAATATCACAGGGTACAAGCAGGATTAAGGTTATGGTAATGCCTGGTTTTTATGTTCATGACAGAATATTAAGATGTAAGGTTCTTTGCAGATATAATCGCTAGCATAGTTAGTACAATGCAATTCCTTGCTTCTTCTTTTTTCGCTGTGTTATTCTTCGAGTAGATTTAGCACGAACTGAATAGAGTGGAAAAAAATGATTCATATAGCCGACTCTAAACCTCTTGGGAATTGAGAATTTGTTACTTCTAGTAGTATTAACAAGTGTTGAATTAACAAACTTGTAATAAAGAGAGAAAATGAAAGATACCAAATACTCAAAATAGTACCGTATCAAAAGGGAAATCCCCAAAAAAATTCGCTCGGTAGGCCCTCCTACACAAATTTCATCATCTTTAAATTTTAAAAATCGTACTATTTTCCTCCTCAAATTCCTCTGCTTTCCCTGGGGAAAGGAATGGAAAATCGAAGAGAAAATGTTGTGCTCTTCCCTTTCATGGCACAAGGTCATATTATACCATTCTTTGCCTTAGCTCAAAAGATAGAAAAGCATGGCTATAGCATAACATATGTAAACACCCCTCTTAACATCAAGAAACTCCAAAGATCTCTTCTTCCGGGCTCCTCCATTAAATTAGTCGAGATCCCTTTTAACAGCACAGAACATGGACTTCCTCTAGGAGCCGAAAACTCGGACTCCCTTCCTCACAACCTTCTCTTCAGCCTTCTCCAAGCCACCATGAGTTTCAAAATTCCATTCAAGAAGTTGCTTTTTGATATTATACAAGAACAAGGAAGTGTGAAGCCTGTTTGTGTAATAGCAGACTTTTTTTTTGGATGGACAGTTGATATAGCCCATGAATTTGGAATTTTTCATTCAATTTTCAGTGCAAATGGTGGCTTTGGCATGGCTTGTTTCTATTCCATGTGGCTGAATTTACCCCACAAGAATATTGATGGCGGGTTTGGTAAGGAGGATTCAACAGTACTGTACAGTATTATCGAAGAAGAAAAACTTAAATCTCATTCTTTATACTGTCCAGACGTGTTTAGTAGGGAGTGTGCAGAATTTCTGCTGCCTGATTTTCCTGAAGCTGGAAAACATCATGTTACACAGTTATCCCCTTCTTTGAAAATGGCAGGAAAGAATAATCCTCTTACAGAATATCATCGGAAGAATCTTCCAACTTGGGCTAATTCTGATGCTATTCTTCTCAACACAGTCGAAGAACTCGACAAGCTTGGATTAATGTATTTTCGTCGTAAATTAGGCATTCCAGTTTATGCAATTGGACCAGCATTGCTTTCGGAAAATGTTAGATCATCTAGAGCTGGTAAGGAGGCAACAATTAGTCCGGATAAATGTATCGAATGGCTCGATAAAAAGGAAGTGAAATCTGTACTATACATATGCTTTGGATCGATGAATACAATCTCAGCTTCACATATGATGCAACTGGCAAAATCCCTTGATGCTAGTGGAATAAATTTCATATGGGTTGTTAGACCACCAATAGGATTCGACATAAATGCGAAATTCGTAGCAGATAAGTGGCTGCCGGACGGGTTTTTGGGTCGAATTCAGGATCATGAAAGAGGGCTAATAATTGATACATGGGCACCCCAGGTGGAAATTTTGTCACATAAATCTGTGGCTGCATTTTTAAGTCATTGTGGTTGGAATTCAGTACTGGAATCACTTACAAGTGGGGTGCCATTAATAAGTTGGCCTGTGGGTGCTGAGCAATTTCATAATGCAAAGTTCTTGGTGGAAGAAGTTGGAGTGTGCGTGGAAATGGCTAGAGGAACCAGTTTTGAGGTCAGCCAGGAGGACATAATTGAAAAGATTGAATTTTTCATGGGTGGAAGTGAGAAGTTGAAGGAGATTAAGAGGAAATCTTGTGAAGTTGAAGAAATTATGAAAAATGCTATTAGAGATGAAGAAATTTAGGCCTGTGGGTGCTGAGCAATTTCATAATGCAAAGTTCTTGGTGGAAGAAGTTGGAGTGTGCGTGGAAATGGCTAGAGGAACCAATTTTGAGGTCAGCCAGGAGGGCATAATTGAAAAGATTGAATTTTTCATGGGTGGAAGTGAGAAGTTGAAGGAGATTAAGAGGAAATCTTGTGAAGTTGAAGAAATTATGAAAAATGCTATTAGAGATGAAGAAATTTGCAGAGGTTCTTCCGTGAAAGCCATGGAGGAATTCTTTAAAGCTGCATTATTGATGAAGGATGGAACGAAAAATACAAATTAATTATTAATTAGGGCCCTCTCTTTTAATTCTCTCAAGTACTGTCTTATTTTGTTTCTACGCCTATGTGGTTAAGATTGTGACTGATAATTATAAATGACAGGAAAATTTATAATCATCTTTAATGTATGGTTCGAGTAACAAGTCGAACTTTTGTATTCATTATAGCTGTAAAATCATTCAATCTCTAATTGTTTGGTGGGTCTCTAATGTTCAATTTTGTGAGGCTAAACTTTATTTTTCAACTTATGCCGACACTCAAAAATTTAAAGTGAAATATTTTTCTACGTGAGTTGAGTAATATTTTAACAAAATTTTGATCATTTGGATTTTGCCTTTACACATGTCCTACAATCAAGCATCCATGCTGATAAGCACTATTACATCAACTAAAACAAAAATTTTCAAAAATAACTTTTATATATATTTATCCATAATGTAAACTATTCGAAAAGTGGACAGGTTTAAATTCAACCAATCACATACTGAAAATGAGTGTGTAAAACATAACGCTTTTTGCTTCACTTATCTCAATCACTCCTTCTACTGGGAGTGCAAAATAGTACTCAATACAATAGATTTGATTTAGATTCTTTCATGATCCAATTCAATATCATCCACGCTACAAACTAAATTAAAATATATGTTGTAATTGGGTAAATTGTACCGAAGGTCACCAAACTTTCATCTTCCTGTAATTAGGTCATTGAACTTCAATTGCAATTAGGTCATTGAACTTTGATTTAACATTAGAGTTGCCATTAGTGCGGCATTAGAAAATGCAACAGAATTCGATGACATGGACATTAAAGTTAATGACAGCTGATGTGGTCTTCCACGTGGACATTAATTGCACTTGCGATCACAAAACATTTACACCCAAATGCAATTAACCCACGGAGCTTCAATTTAACAACAATTAAAGCACACTTACTTGATAATATTGGTTCTTTCATATCAACATTTTGTTAATATCTACAAAAGAATAAATCAAAAATGGGCAACAGCTAGTGGATATACCAATGACCAGGGGCGGACCCACATGGGGTCAAATGACCCCACAGTTTTTTGGAATTTATTTATTATATATATATATATATATATATTTTTGCTGAAAACTTAATTTTCTGCCCCAAAAAATTCAAATCATAAATCTATATCTATATCACATGGTCCATATCCATTATTTAGTCCATAAATATATCATATAATCCACCGATTTCTTCCCAAAGTGCAAATATCGAACATGAATAGCAAGCAACCGATTTTTTCTTTTTGTTCATGATACATTGTTCGAAAAAAAAAATTTTGACCCCACAGTTCGAACTGTCTGGGTCTGCCCCTGCCAATGACTAGTTGGGATTGAGGAGGTCAAACCAATACTATTCGGAACGTCTTTAGTTCATTAGTTGCACTCGTTAGCTACATAGATGCGCGCAACAAAAGAATCAACGTGAACCTTACGAACATGTAATGGGCTGAGCCTAAGGTTTCCTTGGACATCGTACATTTCTGGGGTCTCTTTTCCATCGTAGTCCTTGTTGGGCAAGTTATTTAAGCATATTCTGTTGGGAATTTTACGCCAATTCCCTTTTATTTCTATTTATCTGCACGATCTTTTATTGTTCATAATAATATTGGCAAATATGAAAGATAAAGAATATAATACATAAATTTAACGGATTGTGATATCTTTTCACTATATGAAAAATTGTTACAATCATAAAAAATTTCACTTACCAACACAATCCCCAAGTATTACAAAGAAAAAAAAATTCGAGCTTTACTAAACTTATTTTTCTACCAAATGTACGAAAAGTCTCAAGATACTAGGCTCATAATGTTTTCCTCTCAGATCAACTCCCTGGCCACATCCAAAATAATGAAATACATCCACTATCTATAGGATCAATAACCAAGTGGAAAAGTTTAATTTAAACTCAAACATGAATTCTTTAACTAAATAAGGATTCATTCATGTGCAAGACTTCAAAATCGGCTATGAATTGGAGACTAAATTCTACAAAGATTTCGCTCTCAACTTTAATTAGAAGTCTTCTATAAAATAACTACTTTTTATTGTTTGCAATTGAAGTCCTCCAACTTTTGACTTTCGAGGCAATTACCTTACAATCTTCACCTTGCTGAAAATGAGTCAAAGTCTTGTCATTTTTTCTACACTTTTAATTACAATACTTGGAAAAATAGGTAAGCCTTTGACACACTTTAACAGTCCCATACTCCACCATATGAGTATAACCAAATAGAATTATTTGCGAACTCTGAGCATTTCATCAACTACATGTCGAAATAACCATGCTGATAGTTATGGTACAATTCTCCCACTGACTTTTCTAGAAAGCCCATAAACCATCGACATCACAACACCATCACATACCTACACACCTTGCATAAAATATCCATCAACGCTAGATGCAGATATGCTAACCCGTACTAGTAAGAACACATGGTCTATCAAGACAACTGACAATATGCCATGAGGATATTCTCATCTTACTTTACAACACTACATCCATGTCCTCCTCCACTAGGAGAGACGCATTGTCCGATCCCAAATAGTTAGCCGACCCTGTTCCATCTTTTGGACAATTTCTCTTCACGCGGCCAATCTTACCACAGTTTCAACAAATTACTTTCTTTCGTCCGAGATCAAATTGATTGTTATTTCTGTAAAACTCACAGTTTTCTTCCCATATATCAAGATTGGCTTGACGTGTTCATAGATAGATGGTAAGAGACTGGATGAGCTATAGTGCCTTATCCTCATCATCTATCTTCACTCCAATAGCCTCCAATTCTAAAACAATCCCTTTGAAAACACTCAAATGGTCTGAGATTTTCGTATACGCCTCCATGCGCAATGAATGAAATTGTTCCTTTAGGTACAACTGATTTGAGAGGCTCTTCGTTTAATATAATTCTTCTAACTTCTACTATAGTTCATTTACATTAGATATCCCATAAATATTTGCAAGAACATTTTTAGCTAGACAGAGGCGTATCATGCTTACAGCCTTCAAATCCAATTCTTTCCAATCGTCATCACTCCTACCGGATTCAACTTTCATGCCAGAACTCTTGGTTGGTTTTCCTTTGAAAGTTTTGTGCAGTCCAACTTGAATCAATAAATTTCTAACTTGTACTTGCCACAAGCCAAAATTGATTCTTATTCAAATTTCTCCATGTCATATTTCAACGACGACATATTTTTCTGTTGCTTTAATATTTCGAACCACTTGACGCTCTGATACCACTTATTGGGAATTTTACGCCAATTTTCTTTATTTCTATTTAGCTGCAGGATCTTTTGCTGTTCAGAAGAATATTAGCAAACAAGAAAAATAAAAAAATATAATGTACAAATTAAATGGACCGTCAAAATTTTTTACTATATGAAATTTTTTTATAATCATATAGAATTTCATTCACCAACCCAATTCCTAAATATTACAAAGAAAAAAAAAGAAGCTCAAGCTCTATCACACGTACTTTTTTACTCAATATACGAAAAATTTCAAGAAGCTAGGCGTGCAATATTTTCCTCTCAATTCAACTCTCTGACCACATCCAAAATAATATAATACATCCAATATTTATATGATCAATAATCAAGTAGAAGAGTTTAATTTAAATTCAAACAAGACTCTTTAACTGAACAAGGATTCCTTCATGTACAAGACTCCAAAATCGGCTGTAACTTAGAGATCAAATTCTACAAGGATTTTGCTCTTAATTTTAATTAGAAGTTTTCCATACAATAACTACTTTTTATTATTTGCAAAATAACTTTTTATTATTTGAGGCAATTACTCAACGGATTCAATTATGTTTACACCATCAAATTAGCCTGAGGTCCGTTTTTAAAGTCGAGTGATGAAAATTTACCATTTTCAGAGTTCACCACACTTTGAAATGTTTCAGTTACAGCATTGAGCTTTTTCGTTGCTGCATTTTTCTTCAAATTTCCCCCCATCCTTTCCTGATTATTATTTTTTAGCAAGTGGAAGTGTCGAAGGTTAATCTTTTATTATAATAACTTGTAATTTGAGTAAAACAGTTTGGGCCGACTGGAACATGCGCACGCACTACGCCGGCATACTCTCTCCGGTGGTACAGCTTCACAAAATTATTGCTTTAGGTATTTCTTTCTTTTTCAGCATTCTTTTTATTTATACTGCTTTATCTATCTAAATTCTTGTTTTTCTTTTTCTAATTTCTAGGGTTTTTTTTCCCTTATTTCTTGGCCCTTTTTTCCTTCCCCAATTCTGAGTTTTGAGATAATGTGGGCCTTTTGGAAATTAATTTCTGGTTGTTATCTGTTTGATTTTTTGAATTTTTTGTCACTGGAAATGATCAAATATTTTTGCTCTTCGTTAAAATATTAGCATTAATTGTGTGATTTAATTTTCTTTGTTAGCATATTCATTTGGCTTCCTTGCTCGAATTCAATGTCCGAATATATGAACCAACCTTGGTCTAAATATTGTTTGATAAATTGCGTTTCATGCATAGAAAAATCGACATATCTTTAGTGAATTCGTAATTTACTAGAAGTCCTACATAGAAAAAGAAAATACAACGGACCTCTAGTGAATCTGTAATTCACTACAATCATTTTAGGCCTACTTACTTGGCAAAACAATCTATATTTAAACATTTATTTGATCTTGAAAATGTCTGCTGAATATGGATTTTGCTTCATGACTAACCAGTCTAGTTTATGGGCGAAACATTTGCTACTTTTTAAGTTTCTGTGAGGTATCATCTATTTGTCTTTACCACCGTAATGTGGCATTATGCTAAATTCATTTGGGGGTCTAGAAGTATTCGCACGGCACATTCAATTTGATTGTGATGCTGCATATTTTGTGCATGTGCAGACATGTATCATACTGGTGCACCATAGAAGTGTGCCAGTGGATTAATCGAAATATTTTTTTCTTTTTGGTCTTTCAAGTGCATTGGGTAACTCTGATATGTCATATTCGAGTGATACAAACTTTTCTTGTTTAGTCTGCTTAAGTATCTTCCTAAATAGATGTGGTATAAATCTTAGGATGAACATGAAATCAACTGTCTCGTGATTGCTGATAATGATTAGGGAATGGGAGTTGCTCGAAGCCTCGAGGTATGGAAGATGGGTGTTGTCAATTACTTGGACGCACTTAAGCTGCAAGAGAAACTGACGTCTGATAGAAAAATGCACAAGATTACCGATACTCTGCTTTCCCTACAACACCCACCTACGTATACTCTTGGGAAAAGGCGAACTGATCACAATTTGTTGATTCCCGAGTCTGAACTTAAATCCATGGGGGCAGAACTTCACTACACTCAACGGGGAGGCGACATTACATTTCACGGTCCACACCAGGAAATCTTGTATCCCATCGTTTCTTTGAGGGATATAGGGCTTGGGGCTAGAAAGTACGTGGAGAACCTCGAATTAACAATGATTGAATTGGCGTCTCTTTATAGTGTTAAAGCTTGTGCAGGCCAAAAAGGTGAGACTGGAGTTTGGATTGACGAGAGAAAGATTGGTGCAATTGGGGTCAAAATTTCCTCGGGCATTACCTCTCATGGTTTGGCATTTAACACCAATCCGGATTTGAACTACTTCAGGCATATTGTGCCATGTGGGATTGCGGATAAAGATGTCACCTCTTTGCAGAAAGAAGCAGAACATGTTCTTCCTCCTGAAGAAGTGATACGCGACCAGTTGGTTGCTTGTTTTGTAAGAATATTTGGCTATCCCGATGTTATTTGGAAAGATAGTGCATCAATGTCCTCGTGTAGCCTTGAAAACTGAGACATGCACATTATTTGAAATTCACAGTGTTTTTTCTTCCAGCATTCTGATCTGTGTAAGCAAATCGAAGTTGATTGTATGTAAATTTCTTATCAGAACAAAATTGGGATAGGTTTCAACTTCATAATTTCATTTTCAAGAAAGTGTAGTTACTTTCCCTGTTCAATGAAGAATTCATATGACAAGATAAACTGATGCAAACATTCCATCTTACCAAGATAACTGTCAAATGTTCCATTTTTTAAAATGGAAATTTGTCAAAATCTTTTTCAAGAAAGTGTTAATACTTTTCGTATTTAGAATAAGTCAGAGACATTGCTTTTTTGGATTGTGTGACCTTACTTTGAACATATATGAGGATAATCGGAAAAGGATCTTCTTTCTCCACGCCTCACACCCAACCCCACAAAATACCATGGAGAACTAGAAAACCAACATGAAAAACCTGTTGAAATCACGAACCAACTTGTTTGCAGATCATTTCTGCTCAGTGTTGCAAAAATGCATGAAAGAGAAAGTATTGAAACCTTGTAAACAAATTCATGGATTGATGCTAACCGCACCTATTGACAAGAATTATTTATCAATAAGTTCGAGGCTCATAGGTGCATATGCAAGTTGTGGGGACTTAACTTCAGCTAAGTTTCTCTTCCGTGGAACGGAAAATCCGAATGTTTTTGCGTTTAATTGGATGATTTCAGCATTAACGTTTACTGGATTTCATCAAGAAGCCATGTATTACTTTTCTTTACTTCAAGAATCAAGAAAAAATGGTGTGCTTCCGAATAATTATACTTTTTGTGTAGTGTTGAAAGCTTGTGTCGGTTTGATGGATATGAACAAAGGGAAGGAAGTTCATGGTATGGTTTACAAAATGGGTATTGAAATGGATATATCTGTGTGTAATGCTTTGATTGATATGCATGGAAAGTGTGGGAACATATTCTATGCGCGTAAAGTGTTTGACAGAATGCTTATGAAAGATGTTGCTTCATGGACATCAATGATTTGTGGGTGTGCTAATGTAGGCGATATGAAAGAGTCAGTTTTTCTGTTTGAAAGAATGAAGTTGGAAGGGTTCGAGCCTAATGATTTCACGTGGAACGCAATGATAACAGGATATGCTAGGAGTGGGAATTGTAATGGTGCGGTTGAGTTTTTTTCTATGATGAGTGAAGGAGGGTTAGTTCCAGATTTGGTTACTTGGAATGCGATTATTTCAGGTTTTGTTCAAGGCGGAAGGGCTCAGGAAGCTATGGAGTTGTTCCATGATATGTTAATAGCTGGGATTAAGCCTAATCAGGTGACAGTAACGGGACTTCTCCCTGCGTGCGGGATGATTTGTTCAGTAGGTAGAGGGAAAGAAATCCATGGTTTGATATACAGAATGGGGCTTTATATCAATGTTTATGTTGCCAGTGCTCTCATTGATATGTACTCAAAATGTGGAAGTGTGAAGGAAGCTTGGAATGTTTTTTACACCAATCCTTCGAGAAATGTGGTATCATGGAATGCTATGATTGGATGTTATGGTAAGCACGGGATGGTTACTTCTGCACTTGAACTCTTTGATAAGATGCAGGACGAAGAAGTACAAGCAAATGAAGTTACCATGGTTTCTGTTCTTTCAGCTTGTGTCCATGGTGGTCTAGACAAGAAAGGTATGGAAATTTTCTTGTCCATGTGGGACTCGTATAATGTTGAAACAAATAAAGAGCATTATGCTTGTGTCGTTGATCTTCTTTGCCGTTGTGGTAGGATAGAGGAGGCTTATGATGTTGTTAAACAAATGCCACTGGAAGTAACAGAGTCAGTGGTTGGGGCTTTCTTCAACGGTTGCAAGATCCACGAAAGGAGAGATCTTGCAGAAGAGATGGCTAAATATTTGTCGGTGGAACTGAAAAAACCCGGAGATTTTGTAACACTATCACATATGTATGCTTCCAAAGGAGACTGGGGAGAGGTTCAGAATGTGAGGAAGGTGATGAAGGATAAGAGAGTTTATAAGAAGCCTGGTTCCAGTTGGGTCTAAACGGAGTAGAGATTAGCATAACAAGGACGAGGAAGAGAAGGCAAATATCACGTTCTTGATTTTGCTACGAGTCTGGCAATGCAATAACAAAGTTTTCGATTGAGTCATTCTTCTGAAGCGACTTCAATCCGGTTGATCCATTCTAGTTTTGACTTCAGCGGAAAGTTTTTGTCACTTTTCGCCTCTCCTCAACATCCCACCCAAAGGATTACAGTTACATAAACATTTCGAGTCTTTATTCATTATATTAGGCATTTTAGACCTCTATTTTACCTTGAACCAGTTACCTTCGACATCTTGGTGCCATACAACTCCGTTGATAAGAGATCTTGAGAGTCATGAACCTGTTACGAGAAACTGCATCTATAGACCTCAATCTATAAGATAATTTTCAAGTTAAATCATACTAGAACTTGAAACACCGTAGATTTGAAAAGATGCACATCAAAGTAACAAAGGCTAAACTATTTATATTGATTTGGACATTGAATATTCCATTAATAAAGAAAATTTAAGGTTGTTTGGTATCTTTTTGCCAGCAAAACTTGAACTGAAAATTTTAACATTCAAATAGGGCAAAATATGTAAGTATCCGTGTTTTACTAAACATTTAGGGTGCGTTTAATTTCAAGTTTGAAATTTACAT